ATTTCGCTAAAACATTTCTTTTATTTTCGTTTGTGTTTTTTGCTCATTACAGTTTAATAGAACCTGAGTATGGAGTTTAATAGCAAATTAAGAGGCCGCGTGATTAACAGTCAATCTCGCGAAATAATAGCCAATGTTATAGAGTTTATGAGAAGAGAAGGAAACTTTAATTCACCTTCAATACCATTTAAAAATGTAAATGATCGTGATAACAGTGAGATATCGGAATTTTCATCACCAAGATAAACCATTAAAAAACCAAAAACAGTTAATGATATAGATGAAGCTGACAAAGGTATTTTAAAAAGTTTTATTCTGTTCATGTTAATCTCGGAAAATATTGTTCCAACATTAAAAACAATTCTGACTAAATTTAGAGAAGCTACAGGGTACAAAGGAAGCTATGAAAGTTTAAGAAAAATAATAAAGTCGCTAGGATTTCGTTGGCGGAAAACAAAAACAAACAGAAAAATATTAATGGAAAGGTTTGATATTCAAAAGCTACGTTTAGACTATCTGATTCGTTTAAAAAGTTATCGAGCAGAGGGCCGTCCAATTGTCTACTTAGATGAAACATACATTCATGCCTCCCACACACACCAGAAAGCTTGGAGTGATAATTCAAATGAGGGATTAAAGAAACCAATTAATAAAGGTGATAGACTAATTATTGTCCATGCAGAAGGTGAAATGGGCTTTATTCCGAATGCCCGGTTAATTTTCAAATCTGGAACCAAAAGTGGAGACTACCACGATGAAATGAATTTTAATATTTTTTCTAAATGGTTGAAAGAAAAGCTGTTTCCGAACCTCCCTCCAAGAAGCGTCATTATTGTTGATAATGCTCCTTACCATAATGTCCAGGTAAATAAAGCACCAACGTTAACTTTTAAAAAAGCTGACATGCAGGATTGGTTAAGGAATCATAATATTGCTTACGAAGAGGATATGCTCAAAACGCAATTATACAGTTTAGTGCTATTGCATAAGTCACGATTTAAGAGGTATGCAATTGAAGAAATGATAAATGAACATGGTTTTAGTTGTTAGCGTTTGCCACCTTATCTTTCCGATCTTAATCCGATCGAATTAGTGTGGGCATCATTGAAACAATATGTAGCTAGTAACAACACTACATTTAAGAGGCAAGACGTACAACTGTTGTGTGAAGACTTTTTTGATACGTTTTCTAAAGAGGAGTGGCAATCTCGTTGTAATAATGCTAAAATGTGGGAATCTAAATTTTATGACAGAGAAGTTACTTTGGATGAGGCAACTGATAGATTTATAATTAACTTAAACAGTGACAGTGAGACTGATTTTGAATCTGATATGGAAACTGCAGAAAGTTTTTCGGAAGACCATTAAAATTATATCTGTACCTAAGATCAAAAAAGTATTATCTATTTTTACAACGAAGATGCACAAGAATCAAATTTTATTTTTTTATTATTAGATAGCTATTTTTGTTTCTGAGTTGTGTTCATTTACAGGCTCAATTTTTTTCCGTTTCTCCTTTTTGATTTTATATGGGGTTTCAAGTTGTTTTTGACTTATTTCGACGTAAATCACAACAACACACTTTTTTAATAAAGCAAACAAGTGTTAAGAGGTATATGTACGTGTAAACTACAATTACAAAAAATTGATATGAAACCCATGAAACCACCAACAACAATGTAAAGCTAGCTTCCGTACTAGAACATGGTGTCATTCGTCGAGATAATTTATCGTTTTGTTTAATAGATCAAGAAATGTAAATATTCCCCTGTTATTTTTTATAAAATTATAAGAGAAATAAATTTTTTTCTAAATAGTATAGTTTATTATTTAGTAGAAAAACAAAATTTCGAAAATTTTAGTAATGTTTCAGAAACAACCGTTATTAATAATAGGTACCATTTTCCTTAATAAGGTAGAAATAAAATATAAACTATTTCCACGATTTACAAAGGCCTACAAAAAAATTATAGGTATTTTCCGCTATCCTATAAAATTTATATTTTCTGACTCAATTTCAAAAGTTTGAAGGAATTCCAAAACACCTTTTATGGCATAATAATTATTTTCAATTCTACATACTATCTTTAGCTGCTTTTAAAAACGTTCTAAGAAAGTCCAATCAGACCAATTTAATCCCTAAACTATTCCACACTTTTAAAATTTAATTACCTAAAAATATTAAAAACTATTTAAAATAACTTGTTTAGCAGACTGTACAATAGCTATCTTAGTCACACGTAGCGCGTTCTCTGTCTGGGCGTCGAACACCTCTAGAAATTTGATGAACTGTACAAGCTGCATGTTTAGAAGTATTGAAACTTAGAAGTTTAGTTCCAGCTACAGAAGTTGATTTCCAGTATATCAAAAGGTTTAGTTCGAGTCATCTAAGAAGTTTATGAGATTTAAGTTTACTTAGGAAGATTTATACTTAAAGAGTTGGTGATATCCGAAGTATCTCATATGAATCCTCTAGAAGAAGGTCTCTACAGTCACTCC